TTGTGTGTGTTTGTGTGTGTGTGTGTGTGTGTGTGTGTGTGAGTGTGTGTATGTGTGTTGTGTATGCTTCTGTGCGTAGTTGTGTGTATGTGTGTGCTTTTCAATGTGTTTGTTTGGCTCTCTGTGCATGCATGTGTGTGTATGTGCGTGTGTGTATGTGCGTGTGAGCGTGCGTGCGTGCGTGCGTACGCTTGTGTGTGTGAGTGTGTGAGTGTACACGAGTCTATCAAACGTAGAAACTTCAGAACATAATGAATTAAATAAGGCAAATTTATTATGTGCATTTATTTTCTCCCTTCCCTCAGGTGCACTAAGGGACGCAACCGGCTCATGGGACACTTCTTTTCTATTATGCGGGATTATTGTCCTTCTTGCTTCCACTTTCCCGTTGTTTCACCCATGGGCTCAGAGATTTGTTGACAAGCGAGAAAAGAGAAAAGGCAACAGTGACGTGGTTGTGTAGAAGTACATTATTGATTTGGTAATTGGTAACTGTATGGATTCATCGCCCCAGTGCAGAGGGGTTTTTTTTTCCCCTCTCTATTTTAAAGGAGGTGCGACCTTCGAATGTAAATTCCTTCATCAAGACTGTGGTCTACAGGTTCGTGAAATAATACCCCAAATGAGAAGCTAAGGAAGGTGGTGACCTGTAATGGCAAGGAGTGGGGCACCAAATTATTGAATGAATATCTCTACCAAACCTGTAAAAGTGAGATTGCAGGTTTGAGGGTTCGAGCCTCTGCTCAGTCCGACGTTGTGTCCCTGTGAAAGGCAATTTATATGAAATTTCTTGTTTGGGCTCAGTCCTTCCAGAGATGGACGTTAAACTCTGAGGAGGCCAATCTCATAAATAACGTATTAGTGTTGACAGGGGTGATAAACCCATACCATTTGACATTTCACATAATAATATTTTCCTTGGTCTGCTGGGGTGGTGTGTCCCACTCAACCCAGGTCAGGAGACTTCAAAAAGTTCATTCATTCTCAGTCATCGCCATCCCATCGCTCTGACAGCTAAGTAGTTGTCATTCTGGACAGTAGTGCAGATAGTCTTTATTCAAAGCCTTTTTAGGGTGCATTTTTAAAACTTGAGCTGTATGGAGAGTCTTTAAAACTCTCCACCCTAATTTGCCTGCCCAGTTCAGAGATGGAAGCTAAATCTGGAGATCCCGCATCTGTAATAACTTTTCAAAGTTTATGGAGTTGTAATATCTATACAATGGAACTGGGGTTCAATGAACTCGGATTCAACAAAAACTCTGATTCAACAAAATAAGAAAGATTCACTGTTTTTCTTTTTTTCTTTTCTTTTCATTGAAATCAGCAAATTAACTCGAATTCAATAAACACATAAACGAGCGAATTATTATTCAATGAAGTCACCAACCTTATCTATTTTGTTTCAAGAGACTATCGATCGCTCCTTCACTGTGGAACATTACATGCTTGGCCTGGCCTATTGCGTATACTGTATGCGTCCGATCAGAAGCATTCTTTCACATCAACACGTGCGTTGTTCATACGCACGTAAAACATGACGTGTCTTAGTGGGTGCCAGGGTCAAGAGAGATTGGTTGTGTGGCTGTTAGTGCGTGAGTGAGGGGATTTTCTTTTTAATTTGGATGGAGTAGAGGGGGATGGGGTGAAAGGGGAGGGGGGGGGCGTAGGCACCAGTATTTCGAGAGTAGAAAGTCACTTGATATAGAGACAAGTCACAATCATATCCCCCCCCCCCAACCCCCGGCTAATGCGTAATGAAAGGTTAACCTAGATATAGATTACCTGTAATAAAATGCGCCCTGGTCTGTGCTCACTTTGCCATAACAATCACTCGGATTCAACGAAATCGGAGATTAAATCTAACAAATTCATTATTTCCGAGTTTCACTGTTCTAAGCATGGACAAAAGTATTTAAGTCACCGGTCGGATTGAGTAAATTTGAATATCTTGCGGTCTAAAGTAAGAGAAAACTAGAGGAGATCGGTCGAAAAACTCAATCTCTCAAAAGTGAGACTAAAATTGACACTGCAGCATTTATCATCCAAGGGCATTTCATGACATATGACATACTGATATATTGCTTTTAGCACAACGGGAAACCATCGATTTTGAATTCCAAGACGGACAGTTTTTTTTTTTATTAAACTTTTACTTATTAATTATAATCAACTCACTGCGGGGCCCATTCATTATGATTTATCATTGAGTCGACTAGCGGGCCAGACTGAAACTGATTTTTTAAAAAATATCTGGCATTTGCATTTCACGGGTTTTAAATGTCCATTTAGTTCAACTGTTTTGCTTAGAGATCTCAACTACAGATTCTCACACTTTCAATTGTGCAGATTTATGACCGTTTTATGTTGTTTGAGCATTCCACAAATTTAGGTTTATGAAATGCAGGTTGTTTTTGTTATAATATTATATTGTTTGTATTTATGTGCGTAATATATAAATAATGTGTTGGGAAAAAAATGAGTATATGTGTACTTGTATATA